TATAATAACAAATCATTGTAATGTCAAATTGGTCACCGATTTCGTGCACTACTACTACTATTACCACTACTACAACTACTACAACTCTAACTTATATAAATTATTCAACAGGCACAACATCATGGGACATTCAATCACGAATTCGGGAAATGCTTTCTAGTGAAATTCTTTCTCTCTCTCTCTCTCTCTCTCTCTCTCTCTCTCTCTCTTATCGTGCCTGACCTACGCTTTGTTTTTTAAATTGTAATTGTATTAAGAACAATGAATTCGAGAGTCTAATAACAATTAACAAGAAAAAAAACAATTTTTTTGTGCTTATTCACGCTAAGATAATATTTTATAAATTGCCCCAGATTTATTATCATTTAAAAAAAACGACAAGTATCATTAAAATGGCGGATCTAAATGTTGATTTATTAAAATTTTTTTTTTTCTTACGGTTTATGAAGATGAAGAAAAGTCACCGAATAATGAATTATTATTATTATTATTTAAATAATAAAATTGTGTTCAAATAATAATCACAAGAAAATTTTCACGGTTGTAATATTAAACGTGTTATTATAATTATGTGGAAAATTCGTAGGATGTAAAATAACTTCCGACATATTTATTTAATTAATCTACTAAAATTTTTTGTTTTTTCAGTTAAGACGGAAAAGCTGGAAAATCAAAATAAAAAAAAAAAGAAACCAAAAAAAAGGAAAATTTAAAAGTTTACAAACAAAAAAAAAAAAGGTTCGAAAAGCATTTCCAGAATGAATGATTCCAGGTTCGAAACAATATATCAAAAGGTAAGATTTGATTAAAAATTATTTTGGGGGGCTCCCTAATTATTGACCTCGAATGAAAAACAAAAAAAAAGGGGAAAAACTAACTCGGAATATTTTCAATTATTATTTATGATTTATCCGGAAGAAAGAAAGTGCCCTTGAACATTATTAAAACTTTCATATAAATTATCATCATTTAAAAACCTTAACAGTAATAATAATAATAATAATAATTTTTTTTTCGAATCGAATTTTTCAAAAAAAAAAAAAGAAAAAAAATTTTCTTTCTTCCCCCCCCCGTATATTTATTTCCTTTCGTTGTAAAAACTTTCGCGAACCTTTCGGAAAATAATTAATAACCGTCGATTTAACCTTTCGTATTTAAGAAAATAATTCACAAAAATGAAAATTATTATTATTATTATTGTCGGAAAATGTATAATAATAGTAAGTTAAACTCACCAAAAATGCCCTCATGTTGCTTATGTGTATGTAATCCTTTTGATGGTTGATCAAAAAATGATGGTTAAAATTTCTCAACTTGGGCTATTTAAACTCATCCTTTGGTCCCCACTCATCTTGATTATCTTCTCATTGAAATTTCTCTGTTTAGCTTATGAGATTTTAACGGTCGGTTTTTCATATCGTATTCCTCCTATATGTAACTCGGTGTTTAAGAAATACTCGTTTGTATTGTATGTACGGTTGCTAAGCAACCAAAAACAACAACAACAACAAACAACAAAAAAAAAAAAATTCACGTAAATATGGACATCAGTTTTTTTTTTTTTTTGTGAAACATGGCGGTAACAGTTTTTTTTTTTTTTTTGAAACGATTACGAAATGGAAATTTTTCAATCTGAATTTAATATTATTATTATTATTATTTAAAATCTTGATTTTGGATCCTCCTCCTCCTCATAAAAAAAACCTTTTACTCATAATAATAATAATAATAATTAAAACAAAACAAATGGATTAACAATAACGAACGGATTAAAGATTTTAAATAATTAAATAAATTATTTTGTTATTTAATTATTTAAATTTAAAAATAACGAATTAATAATTATTTATGTACATAAAAATAAAATGGAAAAATTTGACGAAATTATAATTATTAATTAATAAATAAATAAATAAATGTAATAGCGATTCACGAACTTGTTTTTTTTTTTTTTTTTTTTAAACTAATTTTTTTTCATTACGTAATTTAAATTAAGTTAAATTATTATTATTATTATTATTATTATTATTATTATTTATGTAATACATACATATACACTTACGTACGTATATATTTATAAATTATTTTAATCGTGTCAATCAAACGTACAATAATAATGATAATAATAATACGTTTTTTTTTTTTTAAATTTCGTTGTAATTAAATGTCATTTGATTATTGTACTGGGTCAGGCAATAAACCATCATTATCATTATCATCATCATCATCATCGTCGTGATAATAATAATCATCTTTCACTTTAATAATATTAATAATTAATTTAAAAAAAAAAAAAAAACAATAATAAAATTTGATTTGAATGACGCATGAACGTATGTTTGCAAACGAACACGTTATTATTATTATTATTATTATTAGTGGTACCGGTGATGGTGATGGTGATGGTGGTGGTGGTGGTGGTGGTGATGGTGACGGCAGAATGACAATTTTTGTTTAAATATAATATGGAAAAGTTTTTGTTTAAAAACAATTACGATTTTCACGGGATAATTATAATAATAATAATAATGGTGATGACGTAGGGGGTCGTGAGATGTGGCGACGGTGGCGGCGGTGGTGGTGGCGGCGTAAAGTAAAATTATAAAAATTTTTATTAATTTACGTAACGAATAGAAAAAAAAAAAAAAATGAGATTCCATCCGCACACATCCGGGATGATATTCGCGAATTTTAAATCGCGAAAAAAAAAAATTTTATTTATATAAATATATATTCGTGTGAAACGAAAATGGTTTTAGGTACGATAGGTACGATAGGTTGGCTGGTTAGTTTTTTTTTATTATCCGTTATAAATTAATTTATATGGATAAATGAAATTGCAAATTTTTTTTATGAACTCAACACTACGTTTTAAAACTTTAATTAATTACAAAATAATAATAATAGTGATAATAATCAAAGGAAATATTTATTCAAAGGAAAATTTTTGTTGGCAATGGTTGTAACCATTGTATTGCATCCTATGTAAAACAAAACAATACTTATTTACATAATTTTTTCTTTTTTTTTTTTTTTTCATCCGAACGAAATTAAATTAATGTTGATAATTAGCGAGATTCCACAATATATATTAATAATACTAATTACAGTGATGATGATGATGATGATGATAATAATGATAATGATAATAATAATGATAATTTATTTTTTTAAAAAAAATTACATAAAAAAATAAAACGGTTTTCAACGGGGGATTTTGTTTAACAAAATGATAATAATTTTTTATTTTTTAATGATTTACGACGACTCGACGAAAAAAAAAAAAAGAAAGTTAATAAATAAATAATAATAATAATAATAATAATAATAATGATAATAATAATAATGATAATAATAATAATAATAATAATAATAATAATAATAATAATAATAATAATAATAATAATAATAATAATAATAATAACGTTTAATCTACGAAAAAAAAAAAAAATTTTTTTTAGAGAGAAACAAACGTTTTGTGTTGTCAGATATGAAATTACACGTAAATATTATTATTATTACTATTATTATTATCATCATCACAACAAGTGTGGGATTTAATCTTATTTAAAAAAAAAAAAAAATTACAACGGAATCGTGTAAATAGAAAACAAAGAAAAAATTGTGGACAAAAGATTAAAAAAAAAAAAAACGGTAATTTACGTTATTAATTTGAAATTTTTCACTTTAAACAAAAAAATTTTTTCCCCGTTTTTTTTTTTTTTTCAAATGTTGGTAGCTCGTGTGTTTTTTTTTTTTTGATTATATGTCGGGTATGTTTTGATGTTAACAACATAAACTTTCATTTCACGTTACAAAAAAAAAAAATAATAATAATAATTTTCAAGGTTGATATTAAATATATGTAATAATTAATTTATTTTTTTGTTACGAACAACAAACAACAAACAGCCAAACAAACGAGCAAACAAACGAGTTAACGGATATAAAATTTTCAATGATGTTAATAATAATAAAAGTGCAGCATTAAAATTATTATTATTATAGGAAAGTTAGAAGAAGAAGAAAAAATTATTATTATTATTATTTTTTATTTATTGACTTCCTGTTTCATCGATACACGCACACACGCACACGCACACAGACACGCATTTTTCTAATTTTTTTTACATTTTTTTTTTTTGCTTCTTTTTTATTGTTTTTAAAAAACTTTCTCAACCTTCACCTTTTGAACTTATTTAGTTGCTTTCTCCTTACGAAAAAAAAAAAAGACACGTATGTAAATATAATTTTTTTCATTTTCAAAAAAAAAAATCGATAAATTTATTTTATTGATAATAATAATAATTATTATTATTATAAACAAAACGTTTTTTAAAAATTAAAGTGGTAAAAAAAAATTCAATATGGCGGAAATATTTTTTTTTATACATCGAATAGATTTTTAATTTAAATTTTTATTTTTTTTTATTTTGCAACGAAATTGGGGGTCGGTTGTTTTTATCATCATCATCATCATCATCATTATTATTAATAATTTTATAAAATTTTTTTTTCTCTCTCTCTCTCTTTTGGGTAATTTAATTAACCGAAACTCACGAAATTTTTATTATTATTATTACTTTCACTTTTAGTCACGACAAATCTTCTTCTTTTTTTTTTTTAAAAAATTCCAGTCTGTGTTTGTCTGAGTTTGTTTTTGAGGGATTTAATTAATTTACGATATTTAAAAATCATCATCATCATCATCGAAAAAAAAATTCCTAAAAAATCTCCATAGATTTATCCTTTGATTGGTCGTGCCACGATCATAAATAAACTCCTTCCACGATTAGCGGAAAATTTTTTACTTTTCCTTTCGTATTTTCATTTATTAAAACTTTTCATAGCGTTTTTATTACATATTTATTATTATTATTATTATTATTATTATTATTAAAAGTTATTAAGTAACTAAATGCAAGCAGAAAAAAAAATGGCTACTTTCTCGTCGTAAAAAAAAAAAATATTAAAGAAAGATAAAAAAAAAGAAAAAAATTTTTTTTCTTTTACTTAAAAATTAGATACAGGGTGACTCAATAAAAAAAAATGGCGTCAAATTAATTATTATTATTATTATTATATAAAATCGAAAGATATTTACCGAAAAAAAAAAAAATAAGGTCTCGATTTCATTTAATATTAATTAACATTGTAATGTTAATCATCAATTCTCGTAATTACTATTGAGTGAGAGAGAGAGAGAGAGAGAGAATAAACGTCATTTTTTAAGGTACGACAATGATTTTCTTTTTAAAAAATTTTTTTTTTTTTTAGGCGCGACATACGGAAGTAATAAATATGCTTAAAAAAAAATAAAACAATGAATGGATGAAACTAGAATTTAAAAAAAAAATTTTTTTTATTTTCTTTTCTTTTCTTTTTTCGTACCTGAAAACGTAAAAAAAAAAAAAGATAAAAATCGTTAAAAAGAAAAAGTATTTAAAACGTATTGTGAAAATCAAGACACCGATATTTTTTTTTTAATAAAAAAAAAACCCAAGAAAAAAAAAAAGTGAAAATGTAATAAAAAGGAGAGTGAATGACTAAGAAAGAAAGAAAGAGAAAGAGAGAGAGAGAGAGAGAAAAGATGCGAAAGAGGTGAAAG